CTCCAGGATGAATCTGTTTGTGTTCCTGCGAGCACATTTAGAAAGCAGTCCTGACTGAGTGACTGTATCCTGCCACCTTAAAAGGCTATATTTCAAGTTGGTAGCAGAGTGGTCACTCAGTCAGGACAGCTTTCTAAATGTGCTTGCAGGCACCTCAGCCTTCAGCCTCATAGTTTGATGTCAGTGTTACAAAGCTCTTAGTCTTGCCAATTATGACTCCACTGTCTTCCCTCAAGCTTGCACAAAGGCTCTTAGCTCTGGTTCCATGGCTCATAGCTCTGGTTCCATGGGGTTGTTATTGTTGTTAAGTACTGCTGAGTACAGCTCATAGTGACCCTAAGGACAACAGATCTGAACTACGTCCTGTTCTGTGCCATCTTCATCATCTCTTGACATACCCATCGTTTCTGACATACCCATCATCTCTGACATGCCCATTTCAGCAGTCACTGTGTCAGTCCATCTGGTTGAGGGTCTTCCTCTCTTTCCCTAACCCTCCACCTTTCCTGTCTTGAGTCAGCTCTATCTCAGGCATGGTCTCTGGTTCTCTGCTTTCACTGCTGCTGCTGCTGCTGCTGCTTTGATAGGCGCTGCTCTGTGTGGTGTAGGAACCTGGCCCCACAGGATGCACACTCCGCATTCTCAGCTTCTTCATTGCTGGCAGTGAGAATCTCCAAATCTGCACAGTTTAATGGTGAGACTAGCCAATCCCCTTGTGAATAGACCAACACACCCTATTTGTATGTCCCCACCCATCTATAAGGCAGAGTCAGACTCAATGGCTAGGAGAGTCATTTTGAACAGTAAACCCTTGACACCACACAAGATGAAAAAATTCACCTCACTGACTGGAAAAGCATATTATAAGAATGATAAACACAGTTAATCTGTGAGGATATCAGCGCCATTTTTGGTGACCTGGGCAGTTTGTTGCTTTTAAGAAATTTTCTTCTTGGTTTCCATCTTTATTCATGTGTATTTTGATGACTCTTATAAGTAGAATTGTGGACTCTGTATTTACTGTTTGGTGTCAGAGATACAGATGGTGATGGGTGAGGAGAGCTTTATGACTCCACTGCCACAGATTTTGTCCTTATCTGAGACTTACTAGATTTTTTTAAGTTAAATGTTTTTCTATTTTCTGCTCTAAGGAATATTTCCAGATAGTAACACAGACTTTTCACTGGTTTTGGTTGTTTCACTGGGGAGTATCTCAGAGATTTTCACTCTAGAGGGTGAGTTCTGGTTAATTTTAAAGACTAATAATCACTAGCAGTCAGAGAGATGCAAATCAAAACAACAATGAGATACCATCTCACCCCAACAACATAACAAAGTTTAACAGCACAGCAAACAAATGTTGACAAGAATGTGGAAAGATTGGAACTCTTATGCACTGCTTGTGGGATTGTAAAGTGGTATAAACACTATGGAAGCAGTTTGGCATTTCCTCAAAAATCTGAGCATAGAAATTCCATAAGGTCCAGCTATTTCACTGCTAGGAATATATCCCAGGAAAAGCAGAACTGAGACATGAATGGAGATATGTATACCTATGTTTATAGCAAGGTTATTAACAACAGCAAGAAAATGGAAGCACCCTAAATGCCCATCAGCAAATGAATGAATTGAAAAATTGTGGTATAATCACACAATGAAACTGTGCAGTAACATATCCTTGATACCAAAGCCAGGAAAGGACACCACCAAAATAGAAAA